TTTTAATTTTTTCAAGCAAATTATTAAAAGACTCTCCTTTCTAAATTTAACTCTTGTTGTAATCTTAAAAGGAAAGTTTTTTACCATATCAAATGACAAACACATGAAAAAGGGAACAAATTATTATCAAATATCCTCTTTTTCCAAATTCATCTCTTGTTGTAAGCTATGTGTTTACAATCTTCATTCCTCACAGCCACATGCATTTCAACTTTCCATTTGTCTTTGTCCCAAAATAGAAAGTAATAAAAAACACAGTCACACCCCACACTTAAGCCCCTCTAAAAAAATGTTCAAAATTTGAACTTTACAAGCAAAAGCATGCAAATTTGTGGAACATGGAAGAGCAATTATATTATAATCATTACAAAGATTAAGCATAAGACCACACAGTTACTCCAATGATGTTCAAACAACTTAAAAGTCTCAAAGCAATGGGAATGGGGTCCCATATCTCTAAGCCCTTCCAGGTGGCAGAAAAGGTCCACTAGTCTGATAGAACATGGTCTCAATCATGGGGGTCCCACTTGTTCTAATGCAACCCATATGAATTAGGAGTTCGAGTTTCAATCAAAAGAAATCAAACGGTAGAGTCCTTAACATATTCTAATTGTGAAAAGTTTTTAAAGTCCAAAGTTATACACACAAGAATTACCCCTAAGAAAGAGAAACCTGTGAGGAATGGAATTCTTTGTCGCATCAATAAATGTGATTTATGACCACAATTTATTAACTTGACATGATTTTCAAAAAACGAAATCTTTCAACAGTTTAAAGTTTGGTTTAAAGGAAGGATTCCTCAGAGAGAAAAAAAGGAAGCAACGAAAACCTGGGAATGGCTTTAATTGGTTGCTAGAGTTGTCTGTCTCCCAAGATTCAAAATTTTTCACTGATCACATTCTTGCAGGGAAAACCCAGATTGAGAATTCTCGCTTTGGTTCCAAGTAGGTTGTTTTTCTCATTAGATTAAGTTATTTCTCTTTGAAAGGAATGCGCTTTCTAGGTTTTTGAGTGTTCAATTCAATGATTGCGTTTCTGGGTTGGAGCTAAGATTTCCGGGAAAGGATTGGTTTTTTTTTTTTAAATATGTTAAATGGGTTGATGGGAAAGTTTTTGCTTAGTGTTTGATGTTAAGGGAGACTTTTTGTACATGTGAATTTTGTTAGGAAGAACATACTATAATTATGCTTGGTTCATGTCGTTGTTCTTTTGTTTCCCTGCTATTTTAGTTTGTTGGCGTGGTTAAAAAGAGAAAAATGCAAGCTTGGTTTTGGCTGAATTTGAATGCTGGAAGATCAAACATGATGTTGCTATCTATCCATTCGCAGTGGTTCATAACTTTTTCTTATTTGTACAGCTTAATAAGCACGCTTCTCAGCCGTTATGGTGGTGGCATGCATTCCTTGTGCTTATTTTGAAGCATAATTTGATTGGTAGACGCACCTTTCCTCTGAAAGGAAATCTAAAGTTGAAAATTTTTCTCAGCCAAGTTAACTGTATATTAGAAAGTGAAATCTTTTCTGCTTATTGTCTATTTTGAATGCTGAAATAGTGCTTTGGATTTAACTGCTAAATTCTACTGCTAATAGGTCAAGTTAATTCACGGAGGATAGCCAATTTTTATAAGCCTGTCTGTTATCTAATGTACAGTTGCAATTAGCTGAAATTAATCCGCCACTAACAAGAGTATGATAGGAACTATGTTCTGTTTTTGGGCTACCTAATGTGATATTCTGTTCAAACTGCCTGTTTTACATTTCTCATAACCTCAATTGACACTAATTTTTAATAAACCTTTTTCAGCACTGGTTGTCCTGCTGTGTGGGTTATGGTTTCAGTTTGAACTTCAAACTTGATGACTGGCATCTGGTTTCTTTTTTTGGGTTTCAACTTATATCTTTGTAAACGTAGATTAAGAAGATCTTGAGCATAATGGGAATTCCCTTGCGGAGGTATTGTTTTTCATACTATTCTTGTACTCGAAACTAGAAAGCTTTTTTATTTTTCTTTTCCATTTCCATTCATTGGCACTTTTCCTAGTTCACAAGGTTTTGGTAACACCAAAAGTGGTATTAACATGAGTTACATTCACCTTTGTTGTGCTGCAGGAAGACAAATGAAACAATGAGGCTTCTTATAACAACTTTTGCAGGAGTTATTTTTGGCTTCTTTTTAGGTGTATCTTTTCCGACGATTTCATTGACTAAGGTATGCTGGCCACTCTATGTATCTCATATATATCAGTTGTTTCCCACATGATTTTCTTTTGTTTCATTTTTTCCCTTTCCCGTTTCTTACCATGGAATAACAAGTATATTTCAATACATTTAAATTTTGGTAGATGAATTTCCCATCCAGCCTATTTCCTTCCATCGATATTACATATATTGAGGATAAATATTCTGGCCTTTCAACCCAAGCACTGTTTGATGCCTTTAACTCTCTCAAGGCTGATAAGGCCATGTCCGTGCCATCTTCCAAAGACAATGAGACAAAGGTAAACCCCCTTTATTTTGATTATATATACAGTTCAGGATCTAGACTGTAAGCTACCCTTGTCTTGAAATTGTGAAAAGTTTAATCGTGATTCTACCAAAGTGGTTGAAGTTGACAAAGAATTTGTTCATATATATATATATATAATTTGCATTGAATTAATAATGTCAGAGTTATACGAATGTAGTTTTAGTTTTATTAGTAAATAAAGTATTGATTTATGCATAGTTGATCATGGGAAATTGAAAATCTGAACTTCAGTTCTATCAACTAATGAAACCTGCTTTTCTTTAGTATGGGGCTCCTCAGGCATGAGGTACCTTACAGTCCTACTTGTTATAAAGTTGCTAATGTGAGCTTGGGAGCTTTGACTAGAAGTTTTCCAACCCTGTCACTTTCCTGGTTCCGCATTGATGGTTTTGTCTTATTAAGGAATTTTGATTCTTAATGAGAACCATTTATGAACCAAAGAAACAAAGATTAAAGGTCTCACCCATCCTTCTGGTAGATATGGATGCACACTTTTTAAACTGTTGCTAATTTAAGCTGGAGAAACTTTGTGAATCTCCTTTACTGATTGCTTTGTATATTAATTTGTATATGTATTGAACCTTGACAGTGCCTCACTGTTCTTGTTACATTTGGTGATTAGAGATAGTGATCAAAATCCACTTATTGATCATACTATCGCACTTTTCTTTTCTGGCTAATATTTGACAGTTGTCTATAGTTAATATAACAATTTTCAAGGAAAATCAGTGAGCAGTAACACTTACAGGTTTTAATAGGAGCACTAACTGTTAATCCTTAATTATGGCAGATCTGGATTCCAACAAATCCACGGGGTGCTGAAAGACTTCCCCCTGATATAATTGAATCTGAGTCAGATTTATATCCTCGTCGATTATGGGGTCAGCCAAGTGAGGTGTGCATCTTCTACACTTTAAATGACTCCGACTCTTAATTTTTATGTTTAATTATCCTAGTCTGATATATGGGGAGTTTTAAGTGTCACTGTGTACACATAGGGAAGAATTTAGTCAAAGTTGGATTTGTGTTGGATAACATATTCATGTTTGACTCTTGTACCCAGATGAAGATGAAGGGGGCAATGATGATTATCTCCCTTTTTCCATTGTGATTCAAATTCAAATATGTTTCTCTAATCTAATCCTGGTTGATTGGTTACATTTGCAGGATTTATCTATCAAACCAAAGTATCTTGTAACTTTTACCGTTGGTATTAGTCAGAAATACAATATTGATGCAGCTGTAAGAAAGGTCAGTCCTCTCTCTCTCTCTTCACTCTCTCACTATTTATATATATGTCTGTATGTATGTCCCGTGTGTACTTTCTTATCTAACACCTTTATCTTACAGTTCTCGGAGAACTTCACTATTATGTTGTTTCATTATGATGGTCAAGCCAGTGCATGGGACGAATTTGAGTGGTCAAAGCAAGCTATTCACGTGAGTGTTCGAAAGCAGACTAAATGGTTAGCAGCTAGCTCCTTTATAAATTTTACATTAATCTAGTAGGTTTTATGGGATTTTGGTAAGCCCCAGTCATGTTTCACATAAATTCAATTTCATCAAGGTGGTACGCGAAGCGCTTTTTGCACCCTGACATTGTTGCACCCTATGACTACATTTTTATGTGGGATGAGGATCTTGGGGTGGAGCACTTTGATGCAGAGGAGTAAGTCCAACAGTTCTCTGTCTTCCTTATAATGAAAATACAGTTTTTGAATAAGCTAAAATAAACTCCTTTTGTTCTCAGATACATAAAACTTGTCAGAAAACATGGTTTAGAAATATCCCAGCCAGGTTTAGAGCCAAATAGTGGGCTGACATGGGCAATGACAAGGAAAAGAGATGACACTGAAGTTCACAAGTAAGAGTGGTATATGGGTATACATAACTGGTAACTCCACATAGGTTGGAATGTTTTCTTCTTGACCTTTGGTATTCCTTTTTCCTTCTGCAGGGTTACCGAGGAGAGACCTGGCTGGTGTACTGATCCACATTTGCCTCCATGTGCAGCGTATGAAACATAATTAATCCTCATTGTTAAATTGAGTGAACATATTGCCTATTTCTTTGATCATCTTACGAGGACTTTTTGAATTTTTTGCTAATTATTCTTGCATACTTAATGCTCAGATTTGTTGAGATCATGGCTACTGTGTTCTCTCGCGATGCATGGCGATGTGCTTGGCATATGATTCAGGTATGCAGCAGTGACTTTATTTTTTCTGGATGTTGTCATTTCTCACCTTTTCCCTGTGTAGGATATAATTCCTCCTTTGAAATGCAGAATGACTTGGTTCATGGATGGGGTCTGGATTTCGCTCTTAGGCGATGTGTTGAGGTTAGTGACTGTCTTATTCCTTTTGCATTAGTTAACAGGCTCCTCCTTGTATATACTCAAGATACTTTTGTTGATTTTGCAACTTTGGTCCACAAGCAGCCTCCTCATGAGAAAATAGGGGTTGTAGATGCTCAGTGGATTGTGCATCAAGGTGTTCCTTCACTTGGGAACCAGGTACATGAATCCCATTAAGCATTTATTTTACTTTTCCATATGCACAGTATGCTTTATTGCTGTTTTCTTCTTTTCACAGGGGCATGCAGAGGGTGGAAGGGCACCATGGGAAGGGGTATGCGCTAAATATTCCTCTCTCTCTCTCTCTCTCTCTCCGCCCACCTGCACATGTGCACATGTATGCATGCATTTGTTTTTGTCTCCCTCTCTTGGTAGATTGGCTGCAGACAGTAGACCTATGCTTCCTTGCATTTTTTGTGAATCTGCTTTGTTTCTTTTGATGAAAGTGTTTAAAGTTGCAAATTTCGTGTGCCAGGTGAGGGAAAGATGCAGGAAAGAATGGGCTATGTTCCAAGATCGGATGGCTGATGCAGAGACAGCATATTTTAAAGCAATGGGAATGAATACTTCCAATTTAACAGCTCATAAGTGGATAGAGTCTTAATACTTGCATTAGAGTTGTACAAGTAGGCTTCTAGATGTCATGCTACTTCTATTTTTTGATAAAAAGGTGACTTGGGTCCTATCAGCGTATGCAATGTTTGTATATAAGTCACTTTTGTGTTCATACAGTTCTATCAATGTTAATATTATATTTTTGGGCAATCTTATTCAGAGCATTTTCCTATTTATGGCCAAATTTACTTGCCAAGTTGTTACCAAAATGCTTCCTTTTCAATCTTGGCCCTACTTGTGCAGAAAGGAGAGCTTCAAAGGTAACTACATTCTTAACCAACAAATCAATGCTCTTTCTCATTTCCAGAACAGGGAAGAGGTGTAAGAACTACTGATACTGTTTCAATTTTTTCTTTAAAAAAATAAAGAAAAACTTGGTTAAGGTTAATTTCATGCCTGTTAATGGAAATTAGTTCTTTTGGACTACCTGATCTTCCCATTTATCATTGAAGCATTTGTACAAAGTAGAGTTAGGAATGAACAGTTTTACAGTTTAAAATGCTGAATGCAGATGCAGCCTATCTGATAGAGAAAATGGAACCAATTTTAATTCTATCAAGAAGTTACAATATGACTTGCAATAAGATCACAAAGGTTCTAATAACAGGCTGCCACAAGTACTCATTGATGAGTTCTGATATGATACAAAGTTCTAAAGGATTTCCAATTTGCAGTTGCCCTCTGATTGCTAAGCTTTTATGTGAGACAATCACCTCGGGAAATGAAAAATCCTTACAAACATGAACATTACCTTGTAGAACTTGCCAAAAAATGAACATAATATAATATAACTACATCTGTAACGGAATGCTATTACAATTTTTACTGTTACAAATGAATAAGGTGGAGGAAAAGTTCAATAAGTCCAATGCCCGGAGATTACTGCTTTCAGTCCTGATTGATCATCAGTGTTATGGCTCTGAAGCTTTTTGAGAGGCAAAAGTGTGCAACTAGAAGCTAGAAATAACCCTTCGTGATTGCTTCTTCCAGTTCCTTGAACTCCCATGCGTCATCTGCTGAATATTCTCCTATATGGAGGAAAACTGACCTCTTAACAAACTATTGCCTCTTGAAACAAAAAAAAAAACAAAAAGCACTTAAAAAATGTTTGATTTCTTCTATGCTGGAAAAAGGAATACAAATGGGTTTCTGTTTATTCATTTTGCATCACGCCTGGCGTTGAGCAACAGAAAAGAAATAAACCTGTCTTTTGCCCACTTTCTAATGCATATTAAGTCTAGCAGCCAGTGCAAGGGCACCTCTTGAAACCAAAAGGACAAAGATATGATAAACTATTATAGTAGTTTTTCTCTTTTTCTTACTATCTTCTTTCATATTAGGAAAATCATCTGGTTCTTATATCCTCTACTTTGGGTATATACAAAAAAAAAAATTCTAAATGATATAAAATGACAAGTCTTCATACTAGCAAATCAAGATCTATTTAATCAACACTAATATTCTAAAATGAGGAAGGGACCTTACCGATTGAATCTCTTCGCAAAGCAGTCAAATGAGCACAACTGAAACAGGGGAGGAAATAAGAGAAATATCAACTCAAATGTTCGAATGATTAAGCTGAGACCATTGATCATAAGATAACAAAATCAAAGGCCAGGACTTAAAACACGGCAGAAAATTTTTAGAGGTTCAAACTATTAAAAATGATAACCTGCCCAAAGCCTTCCCAAGATCTGCACATAAGGATCGGATATATGTTCCTTTTGAACATGTGACCCGGAAAATCAAGTTTTGTCTACAAAGACATCAAAAAATTAAAATCAGCTCCGATGATACTTCCTAGTAAGATGACTAAACCAGTTTTGTTTTGAGGAGAAAAAAAAGGATAAATACAAAGTACCTGTCTTCTAAGCTACGTTCAATGTCAAAGTGAAAAATTGAAATTCGTCTGGGTGACAGTTCAATACTTTCTCCTCTTCTTGCCTTTTCATACATCTTTTCACCTCCAACCTATTCATAACATTGACATTGTTTCGTTATTCAGTAAATTCCCAAGTTCATGTGAAGGTGAGATGAAAAAGGCATGCTAGACAGCACATATTAGGAACAAGGGTGAATAAAAATTGATTTATTTAGCGCTCCAAACACAAACACATATATGCATCAGAGTTTTATAAAACCTCTCAATCCCCTATGCAGACAAAATATACTTCTAAATATCAGTTTCAGCAAATTATTTTGAAATAGATATTTGCTTGTGCCTTCCGCACATAAAATACACAAAAATGCATGAGCAACAGAGCCTTTCCCCTAAAGCATCTCCACAGCTCATAGACACAACCTCACCTTGATGGCAGAAAACATTGGAGGAACTTGCCATATCTCCCCCAAGAAGGATGCGGCAGTTTTCTTTATGTCCTCATCTTTGATATGCTCCCAAGGCTCACGTTGAATAACCTACATAAGATCAAAGTGAATTAAATAATAGCAGGTCTACTGTCCTAGAACTAAATAAATACATGCTGAACACTTGTAGTCTTGTTGCTGGAGAAAAATTAAGTAAACAGAACATAACAGTATGGTGGAGTGTATAGAACTTGACCAAAGAACAGCAGATCTTATTTATAATTGACTTCTGAATAAACACACCGGTGAATCAGCATCCCAAGTTGAAGTAGCCTCCCCTAAGCGAAAAACTCCACTATATCCCTTTATCATTCCTTGATATCTGCATTGGAATTCAAACCCCTCAGATAAATTCATTTGGTGCATGTGAGATAACAATTCAGTTTTAAGCCACTAGGGCATTAAAGGAGGGGAGTGGAGCCTGGCTTTGGACATTGAAACTGAAGAACTTGTCTGTAAAATTCAGACATGAGATCAGATCAAATTTACCTCTCTACCAACTTAGTGGCTTTACCAACACATACAATCAATAGACCAGTTGCCATAGGATCAAGTGTTCCAGCATGCCCTACCTGTAAGCACAGTCCAAAAAGTTAAATATAACTGAAAATAAGCTACAGTGGCATGCAATAACAGAGGACACAATAACAAAAGAGCACCTTTTTCACTTTGACCAAGCGACGCAGCTTGCCACAAACTGTAAATGAGGTCCATCCTGTTTTGCAACACAACAGTGTTATCATTTAACGCAAGTCAATATGATAATTCAGAATGTCATTCTACATTTATTGTCTGAGAATTCTCAAAATTTGTATATCAGCAATCAGAGAATTAGATAAATAATCCTGCTAACATTTGACTGGGTGACCAATCAAATTTGATACCGTACCCTGTCTGAACTATAAACAGGAAGTACAAGAGTTTACTTTCTAAAGCACATAGCAAGCAGTGTCTGGCCTACACGATTACCTTACATCTTCTCCTCATTAGCCTAAGCTTCTCTTGACTAGCATCTGATTGTAAGCTACATATTATCAAATAAGGAAGTATTCATACTTCAGTAACAATAAAAGCTCACATATCAATTATCAACATACTGATTTAACTACATCTAAACATCATACTGATCAAAATATAGCATTCAAAATACCAAATCCAGTATAATTTAAACAAGCAATTTGTATATCCCTTGGCTCACCTTTAGGCTTATTCACCAAAACTACCGTCCCATACGGACCATCCCACCTCGGGGGAAGCTCAGTATTCCTACTAACAAGGTAAGGCTCCCCAGAGCTAAGCTCAGTATCGTTATAGGGAACTTTCTTCAAACACTTAAAAAACTCTTCCACCTTCTTCTCAGTAACCTCCTTTTTCACATCCTTACCAGAATTTCCCTCTTCCTCAAAAAATACCAACCCTTTATCCTCCACCTCCTTATCATCGCCAGGTTTTTTACTTTTTCCCTTAACTTTGTTTTTCTCATTTGACTTTCCAGGTTCGAGAAAAGCCTTATCAAAACACTGGTCAGGAAAATACTTCTTTTCCAATTGATAAACCATTTTATAATGCTTATCTTTTTCCCAAGGATATGCAAATGTATCATAAAAAAAAAGCTCTTCTTCCCTCTCATGTAACCTATCAAATTCCACAACTTTAGGCTTCAGTTCAACAAACCCATCATCATTTTTCCCCTTTTCATCATCTTCAGAATCAGACCCATACATTCTTTTCCTTCTCTTTCTATAATATTTCCGCTTAGACTTGTCCATTTCATCATCTAAAGTCAGTTTCTTTTCTACCCATGAATCAAAACCCAATTCTTTTTCTGGGTTCTCTTCCTCAGGTAAGTTGGGTGAGTCTGGTTGACTGAGTCGGCGGCGAGTTGGCGCGGGTTGGGACTGAGTTGGGGCATTGATGATCATATCATATTGGAGCGGGTACGGAGTGGATGTTGTGGAGAAGAAAATTGAAGAAAGTGGCTTCGAAAAGATCAATTTTTTGTTGAGATTATTGGATTTTGATGTCAACGGGCGAAGGGACTGAGTTGCTGTGAAAAATGAGACGAGTTTTGGCCGTAGGAAAAGAAGCGACATTGTGATTGTAGAATGGGGTTTTGCCAATGGTGAAGTTTCAAAGTCTGAAGCTTTACAGATTTCTTTTGTTGTTAGGATTCAGGGTTTTCGCAGGGTTTTAGGCTTTTAGAAGAGAGCCTTTTGTAGATTTTAGCAGAGCTCTGGTCAAAAACCTGTAGTGAACATCAACAATTTCCATAGGATTTTGTTTGGAGGTTGGCAAGGCCGAATGGTTTTAGAAGAAAAGAAAACCCCATAGTTTTTTATTTTTAAAAGCAAAAAACAAAGTAATTACAATAACAATGAAGTTGTTTACAAAAAACTAATGTTTGATCATATTTTTTGTCTAGGAAATTGTTTAATAAGGGTTTTATCCAGTTCCATAATGAATCAAATCATAGTTTAGAGAACATGTGTCATCAAATTTCCTTATTTTTTTTTTCTATATAAGAAATTATCAAGTATTCAATTGTTGCAAAGATTGAAAGTAGCCATAACAAATTTCTTGCAATTTGCAATAAGAAGGTAAAACCACTCATGAAACCCATCATCCATCATAGTTTTATTTCTTCTTTGAACAGCCACTGATTGTTAGTTCAATAATAGCTCAATAAATCCCAAACAATACCTAAAATGCTCTTTATTTCATTTCTAATATCCGGGGCCTCAAAGGCTCAGATGCTGAATGGTTATAGATATATATATATATATATATATATATATATAATGATAAAAAAAAACTCCAGAAGCGGTATAAAATTCTTCTAGTTTGACTCTGACAGGGTCTGGAGATCAACTTAATTTAGAAATGAAGGAACAAGTTGAATTGGTTGGATAATAAATCCAGCTTTCTGACATGCATCTTCAAGAAGTTTCACTTGTGAAGGCCCATCAGGGCAGAATGCAACCACAGCTCCTCCACTGCCTGTAAATTTCGAAGTAGCACCAACTCTGCGAGCCACCTCCACCATTTCTATGTTCAAATCGCCTAGGCACTCATCTCCAAACATGCTCCTGCATAAGATTCATTCACATCATACTAGCATTCAGCAGAATATATACAAAGCTCATCTTCATCTTTATTTGTCTGAAAAAGAACTATAACATCAGAAATGAACTAAATCTGCTAAAAACCTTAAGCTAATGCTTGCAGCAATTTTTCTGCTTTCCTTAACCACATGATAATACAGCTCCCTTTTTTTCCTCCACTGGAGTACCAGTAGTACAACTTGGATAGGAAGCTCAACTTCAATTTTCAGCAACAAAAATTAATTAAGCCAATTGCCTTAATTGCAGATAAATTATAAGATCCACGAGTGGTACTAAAGATAAAAACACACAGAGCTAACTTCTTTACTTTATTTATCGAGTTGAACATATACATATATATACAAATAAGAACTTAAATGGACAATCCTAGGTCAGAATATCATAATTAGTAGTGCTTGTGACATGCAAAAACATCCTACCTTCGGAGGTCAAAATTACAATTCATGAGTTCTGCAAGCTTTTGATAATTCTTCTCAAGTATTACACGTTGCCCTTCTGCTGCTATATTTGCAACTTCAGCCATTGATGATATAATAAACTCATCACCATTAAGCCACCTCTGTCGCACAGTGCTATGTACCTGCATTTGAAACAATTTATGCTCATGAATAAATACAGTAGAGACTCTAAGAAAGGTTAAAGAAGCATCTTATGCCTGAATTAAAAGTCAAACTTCTATATGGCAGAAATAGATAATTTAAAAGATAGCCATCTGCTGACCTTCCCAGAATCACTAGGATTCTCAGCATAAATGAGATGGAGAGGTGGTAGAAGACTAATATCCATGGGTGTGTAGATGCCATGTCCCAACTTATCCATGTTTTCCTTGCTAAAATCCTACAGAAGAATTCTTATGCATAAATAAATTACAATGTATAAATAAATTTGTTGACCAAGTTTGTATAAAGATAACATACCATGTGGACAAGGCCTCCATAGACCTGTGCCACTCTATCTTGAAGGCCAGCAACAATTCCAAGTTCTTTCTCTGCATTAAGGATAAGATTGGGTCTGATTTCTACTTTAATCAAATGCCTGACCTTGTAAAAATCAAGAAGGCAGCTTAGGGCAGCACATACAATAGCACTGGATCCTGAAAGTCCTGTCTGAGAAATTAAAGGTATAAGCCATATATAATGTTGTAAGAATAACACAAGAACATTACATGCACAGAGAGAATTTAAAAAAAAAAAAAGCTTGTGTATAATGTCCATGAAATGTAACCACAGCTAGGTAACTTGAACAATCAAAATTGCAAACCAGAAACAATAAGACCTTGATCATGAGAAAAATGAATGAAAATGGTTGACATCAAACAATGATACATCCCACAACTAAAATGGCATGATGAGTTTGATCTAAAGGATATACAATTTCTTGTATTTGCTATTTGGAGCTCTACCTGGCGAGGGATATTAGTATCATACGATAGGGTGAAGTTTCCCTGTTGAAGATTGATCTCATTCTCCTTACAATGCTTATAGAAGACTTTACAAATTGCCATAAGCAGCCGTACGCCTCCATAATAACCTTCACTCCGCAATCTACTTACCTGCAAGTAAAACAATGTGCTATCAAACCCCATTCATGTCAAATGTGCAATGTAGATATCCTATACCTATGAATGCAGGTGAAACCAGACATGATTCATGGGAAAATTGAACTTTATTTCATTATCGCAATTAATATGCTCATTACAAAAGCAGCTAAAAAGGTAATGCAAAGTCACCTACTACATGTGGCTTGGATTGCATCAATGTCAGATCAAAAGATAGCACTGGATAGAGAAGCATATATATCTCGAAATGCATATTAGCATCAAAAAGACCGAACTGCAAATACTCAAACCCAAACTTTTCATCAAATACTTAGTAACCAAGATGGTTTTCCATATATAACCCATAAATCATTGCCACATGCAAACAATTCTGGACCAGTACCAGCCAACAATTCAATAACAAATTACCCTTTCATTCAACAAAAGATGAACCTTTACGTCTACCCAATAAACAATCAATCTCAAATTTATTTCCATTATAGAATGCTTAATTATCATCATTAATCATTTTCGTTGTCGTTAATTATTTTACATAATTAACATAAGCCCAACCAAAACTCAACAAACAATCCTGTCAACTCAGATTCGATCAAAAACCAGCAAATCTCAATCTGGGTCTCCACAAGATTCCAGTGAAAATGTTGATATAACCAAAATATTCAGATTCAATCTACCCAAAGAAGAGAGAGAGAGAGAGAGAGAAGTCATCAGATCCCACCAACAAAAACACGCAAACAAGGCAATAAACATTTGAAAGAATGAGAGAGAGAGAGAATCTACAAGGTGATCGAGGGAGTTGGACTCGACTAGATCATAAGTGGGGTGAGGCTTGATAACAAGATGATGAGAAGGCTCCAATTTAACAGAAGCCCAGAAGTTTCCAAGGCTAAAAGAGATGGTTTTTCCAAAGTAAACATCACTTGGGTTCCCAAGTAACCCAACACGAGCATAAGCTTTGTGTACAATCACGCCTGCTTCAGCTGAGTTCATGTGATCCATTCTCGCTGCATACAAAACAATACAACTTTTTTGTTGTTAGAATTTCTGTTGCTTTCAGACTCTAATCCCTTGCTATATTTCTCATTTCTTTGGGATCTGTTTCTATATCAGTAGTCGACAGTACTTGATAGGAGATATACGTGGGGTACTACACGTGCTTTGAATCTTTTCTGGACATTGAGTGAAACACAACTCAGCACCCAGTATTTGTTCTTATCCTTACTCAGCTCTGCCGCCTCCCGCTTTGGCTCTTCATCGTCTAAACCTACAATTCCCGATTCGACACATGTGTGTTGTCTTTTCGCAATATGTCAAGGGCAATTTTGGGTTTTCGGTGATTGTACGTAGGCTTTGTCGGGTTTTTGTGGCAAATGGGAGCCGCGCTACCGGTTTTTGCCACCTTTGCATGTGGATCAGGTCATTCTTTTGACAGATTGGGTGTTTGTTATTGGATGAATATTAGTATATTATTTTGTATGTTCAGCTGTAATTCTATTTCATGGTTTTTTAATTTTTGCAAACTCTTCACAGGTGTGGATCTAAATTTTTTTTTGAATTGTATCATAATTAAAATAATAATTAAAAAAATAAATATGTTAAAATTCATAAAATAAAAATTTTAACATTAAATTAAAGAAAATGTAAATTTAATATATTCATTTAACACTTCAAAGTAAAAATATCTTAAAAAAGTCATAATTGTCTATGATGAATTTTCATATTTTGAAAACTTTATATAATAGTATCAATAGAAATACTATCAAATATATTTTTTCAATATAAATCACCAAATAATTGTTCATCCACTCGTTACTCATTCGATTACGTAACTTGTACTTTATACATTTCATTACTGAAAAAGCTCTTTCAACTGATGCTGTCGCCCTTGGTAAGATCAATGCATGTTTTATTAACAAATAAACCAAATGATACTTAATATTTCTATTTATCTCAACCATCTTTTTTGTAAGATCACCAATTCTGTTAACTTCAACAAATTACTTATCCAAAGGCAAGTCTGCAACATAGTTTTCAACTTGATTTTCAAGTGTCGCTAAATCCATTGCTGAAATATCAAAAGGATACGATTGATCCATACGAATCAATCTTTATTTATTGAAGGTAAAATATGGATTGCTAAGATGTAAGCGTGCAATACCTTGAAGTAGCTCCGTGTTCAATTCAGGGAAACAATTATTATGCTCCTCAAGTTGCAAATCTAAAACTTCATTCATTATATCAAAATGATAATGATGAAAATTTGATACTTTTGAAGCTTTGCATCTTGACCTTCCTCGAAGCACAAATGTGGTATCCATATTTGAAATCACTATGTCATGTTTAATTATTGCAAAATGAAGAAACTTCATTTAATAGAAATTCCCATCCTTCATCTCTCATCATTTGCAAACATTATTTAAACACAAGTATCATAGCATTTATAATGTCTTGTTCTTCCTTTGCAAAGCCAAAGATAGCTCATTAGTGATCCTCAAAACATTTTTCATCAAGTGTAATATAAAGGCAAATTCAAATTAGTGTAGAAAATCAAGAAGAATATGTGCCTCGGCTCTTTGCTTTGTCTCTTTTCCATTGTCTTCAATGAATTCAAACACTTCAACTATAAAAGAAAACATAATAATCAAGTTTCATAATGTCCCAGAATGATAACCCCAACATGTATTACTTGCCTTTTTAAAACTTGTTTCTTAATTTAGACCTTGCCCACTTTGAAGTTCACCATTATCTAATGCCTTTTTAACCTTTGACACTTGTTACTCTCTCAAAATATCTCTTATCTTACAAGAAGCTCAAACAATTTTGGTCAAATGACCAACTATATTAAAAAGTAAACCAATGTCAACATTTTTTTCTGCAACAGCTACAAGTGCTAATTGAAGTTGATGAGGGAAACAGTGAATATAATAAGCTAATTCATTTTCTCTCATAAGTTAAGTTTTCCGGCCATTGAATTTACTTTGCATATTACTAGATCTATTAAAGCCTTGTCCACGAACTTTTAACAAGCTTAACCCATGCTTAGAAAACATTGCTTCAATTGATGCTTTAAGTGATGTAGCACTTGTATCAGTAACATGAGCAATACTAAGAAATTGTTCTGTTTCCAAGCCTTTTTTAATTACATAACATAAGACAATAGCTATTTGTTCTTTTTGATACGTCTCAAGCTTCATCAACCAATATCTCAAACAATTCGCTTCCAAGATCTTTAATGATTGATAATTTATTCTCAAAACTACATTCACAATATCTTTTTGAATTTTAGAAAACACCAATTTGAGATTCCCTTGAGAATATTCCAAAACAGCCTTGCTTACTTCATCATTATGACAAGCTCAAAATTGCAAAAGCTCCAGAAAATTTCCTCTATTTTTTGAGTTTTCAGAATCATTGTGTCCTCGGAAAGCTAGCCCTTGATGCAAAAAAAACCTAATGTAATCTATAGATGAAATCAAGTGAGTTCTATAATATCTTTTAGCTTGTTTCGTTTGTTGACAAAGTGCTACATCAATATGTTATTTCTACTTCATCAAGTCTTGGCATTTCTTTAAAGCTTTATTATGTTCACTATTGCAATTGCCAACATGAGTATCTAATCTTTCTTTTTTGTTCCAACTTGTGAAATCTTCAATTACAAAGGAATCACCTCCCCCTTGCTTCTCAATTTCATTTTTTAATAAATAACAACACAAGTAAAGTACAACATCCTTTTGTATGCTATACTCTAACCAACTATCATAGTTATTAAACTAAAAAGAATTAAATCAACGAGGAACCCCACAAATAATTCTTTGAGGAAACTTATGGTCATGAGATTGACATGACCCTTTCTGCAAATATGCTCTTCTAATTTCATCCTAATCGTTAGGATGATACTCAAAAAAAATTTTCCTCAATTCAAGATCAGCCGGAAGAGTACTTAAAGCAAATTCAACATACTATACTTAGAAGATTGTTGAGTACGATCACTAGTAGAATTTTGTTGTTGTTGCTCAGTATCTGATTCTTGTGAGATAATTTCTCTTCTTTTAAAATATCTTTCCATAGCTTATTTATTTAAAATTATAAAAACTAGTTAAACATTACTACTCATTAGCATAAACTAAAATATTAAAATTAAATAAAATATGATCTTACATAACAAATTATCATGTTCAGCAACTAATAATATGACAATTTTCTATTTATTAATTACAACTAAATATAACCATCAACAAATCACATAAAGTTAAATATCAAAATCAAAAAATCAATATTTACAAAATAAATCAAAAAAAGAAAGACTAATAATTCCTAAATTATAATTATAAATTCAAACTATCAAATTAATCAATTAAAACCTAATTGAGTTATTTTGAAAGAATGAAAAACACAGTCAAGGATCGAGAAGAGGAATGTTATTGTAGATTTCAAGAGTAAAACTTGAATTTTTGAAAAAAGAAGAGTAGTTTAGGTTTTGACTTTTTTAATAAATTCTTAAATTATAAAAGTAAATTTTTTTATCTTTCCATGTAGAATTTAAATATTAATATATAAATTATCTTTCAAAAAATCTACTTTTTATAAAATTTAAACGTTATTTTTCAAAAAATATTTAAATATTATTAATATATAAATTTTTTAATAAAATATATTAATAAGTTCGTAATATTACTAAATATATAAAACCCTAAAACAATAATATAATAAATAAATATTTTTTTTTTAATTTAACGGTGGCACATGACATCACTTTCTTGAACATAGGTCCGTCCATGCTTTTCACCAAATATTTATCATTAATGCTGGACCACTGCAAAGATATGATATTTCCGCATCCAAAAAGGACTGCCAACGTTCATGCATACTAGTACCTCTCTGCAAATAGACTGTACTTTCTTTTCCTGGCTTTTCACTCCTCGTACCAGTATTTGCCATTGGTAACGGAACTTAGGTTCTTCCAAATAAGAACCAAATCAATTAGTTGCTTTTACTTAATTTTTTTTTGTTAATTAATTTTAATTTTTTTGTTAATTAATTTTTATGTTTTTTTTCATTCAATTTTTTGTATATTTTGTAACGAATATTATGTTTGTACATTTTGATATCTTTTATTGATTTATTTTTTATTTTTTAAAATTATAAATAGGTGAGAATTTACTATTGAGTTTGAAAAATGACAATATTAAAAATGAATCAGTTGTTATTGTGTTTAAATTATTATAAATAATTTTATTTTTGTAAATTAAATAATAACTTTTTATGAATAAATAATTTTATTTTAATTTCTTTAAATAATTTATAAAAATATAGCTAACTTTAATATTTTTTTATACCATTGTTTATAAAATTTTACACTCCAAGAATCGTCCAAGAAGAGAGATAAAAAATAGGAAGGAATAATCAGGAAAATTATTCTCTTTAATATGATTTATGCTTTGAATTTTATGTTTTTTTGTTTTTAATTTGAAAAAGGAAAAATTAGAACCTTATTTTTAAGTACGGAAAGGTCGAATAGCAATCATAGTTTAAATAAGATACGGTGATGAAAGCAAAACTAGAGATACCCAGAAAGGTCTAATAGCAATCATAATTTAAATCCAAATGAAGAAAAGATTAGTTAATGCATGGTGAACAATAAACTGTACAGTTCGCCACGAAATTTACAAATTTGCGAAGCTGACACCACGCAACCAGCCTTACCCCAATAGAGGTTGAAGAAGAACACATTACCATTTCTTATCGTGTAACTAACACGAGCTCCGTTAGTCTTCTTCCTCTTCATCATCATCTTCGGGCAGCCCCATATCATCTCCGATACCTTCAAGCAGTTTGTCCACATCCTCGCCTAGTTCCGATAACTTTGCACTCAACTTTTCCACCTTGCTCTGTTCTTGCCCAAGGCACACAAGCAAATCATTCAGCTCTGCTTCGCTTTCCTTCTGAGCTTCTTCCCTAGCTTCGGCCTTTATTGACTCGATATCAGGAGAGGTTGATGTACCTCCGCTCTTCAAGCCTTTCACCTCTTTTTCTAGGTGGAGATTGGTCTGTTCAAGACTATTGTAAGCATCAGATAGGCTCTTCAGATCAGACTCCAGCTTCCCAGCCAAATTCTGGTATATCGATGCCTCTGATTCGATCTTAGCTTTCTCTGCCTTGAGCATCTCTATCCTCTGAGATGCCTCCTGAAGATCTCTACGAAGGGTCTCCGCCTGGACCCTATCTGAGCCGCTGCCCACCCTTAACTCAGGTTGAGAATTCCCACTCCCACCAGTCCTTGCCAAATCCTCAGCCAAAGTGGCATTCCGGCCAAGAAGTTTCTATAAATAAAAAGCAGAAGGAAAACAGAAGATCAGATAGCTAAAAACATCCAATTAACGGTTCAGAACAGTGATCCAGAACATAGCTTATTAGTAAACACACCTGCAGTTAATCAACTCACCTGCAATTAACAAACAAAATTTGCTAACAGTGCTAATTCATACCAGTCTTTAACAGTTAAGTTGTTTCCAATTAAAGAGTTCTTTTTTGAAATTTCAATTACCTGTATCTCAGAGCATTGTTTCTCTACAAATGCCTTTAGCCGCTTGATATAGTCCTTGTCACTTTCTCCACCCTTTTGTTCCATTTCTGCAGGCACGACTGCCACATCACTCTTAGGGCGACTGTAAACATCTACAATGTTTTCTCGAATATACACTTCCAAACTCTTCACAAAATTAACAAACTGAGCATCAAATATTGATGTGAGGATTGGATGATCCTCATTCTTCTGATCTGACAAATCACTCTCTTCACCATCTTCAATCTCTGCCATACTGGCAGCAGTGGATCTTGTCAATGGTTTATGGGACTGAGCTGGCTTCACTGAAGAGAAAAGGAAGCTTTTCTGCATCTCATCAAACTTCAGAAAATATGCCGTAAGCCCAATTTTCTGGCTTATGGCATCAGCTATGGTAAAACCATCCTTTCCACTTTCACTAGATTTATTGTAAATCACACATTCTCCCAGGAGAACTGCAGCCAACCCCCTAACACACACAGTTGATGATGTATTTGACACCAACTCAAGCAGATACGTTAAGTGGGGGCGTGAATCTAAGAAGCACTGCACTGCACTCGGGTAATCTGCTAGCCATGTCACGAGCAGTTTCAAGATAATTGGTTGAACATATGAGTAACCTGGCTTCCCATCTTTATTTTTCATGGAAGAGGCAACAGCCAAGTACCTAACAATACGGTGCAGTAGTAGCTCTGGAGCTGCTAAGGATGGCATTGGTGCTTCAAGCTCAATTCGCAAAACCTGCATGATGTCCATTGAAATTAGATTACTGTAAAATAGAGGCAAAATTAGTTACAATTTTGTTCTAGATGCAAGTCAAAAAGAGACATCAAATGTGACAGCATACCCGTTCCTTGCACTGAGTGTTGTCCTTGAGTATGTGAGTAAGAACACTAGCAGCCCTGCAACAAGTCTGTATTTCACAAGATCAGCTGGATAATTCTCAGACATTAAGCACCATAAAGAAAATCTAATATTCTATATGGATATCAATATTTATAAAATCTTATACAATATCATAAGATGATCCAACAAATTTAGGCACTCTGCATAGTTTTTTTTTTCATTAAGTTGATGATGCATTATGGAGAAATGAGAACATTAGGTTACCTCAAGATCACCATCACTTTCACTCAGTGCTAGACCATGTAACAGCATGCTGCCACATATACAACGTAATTAAATAATTCCATCAAATAGAGTATTTATATGAAACAAGCAAATAGCAAAGTAAAACTTTAAGATTTAACCAGCTCCATAGAATTCAATACATTTCCTAGTCTGAATAGCCCAGTAATAGAGAAGTGCAGAACAGAAAGCATTTTATGAGCAAACAAACCTTCCAAATGACATGTTCACATCCTCCTCAAGGGGAGCATGAGCCATTGAATTTGGTTGAGGAATTAACGTGGATGCTAACATTGCTTGCCCATCCGAGTTTTTCTAGAAATAAGATCCAAATTCCCAATAAAGAAACACAGTTCACATACATGTGAGATACTTCTATGTAAATTATATAGGCATAATTATTAAACAAAAAAAAAAACACTATGATATGAACCTCACAAAAGTTCTTAAAGACATGGTCAGCTGCAATAAACTCTTGCATACTAGACGTTCGCAAAATGATTCGGAGAATAGAATTCAAAGCAGGTTCTACTTGTGGCTCCTCGCCAAGAACTTTGCTAGAAAGAGCATCCAGATTCTTGGGATTCCCAGCAACCAAATCACCAATGGACCTTAGTGCCTGGCAAAATATAATCATTAGAGAACGGTATGTGGAAATGAAGAAGAAGAAGAACAAATCTAGAGAACTGTCTTACTGAACAGCGCACAGCAATTGGAGCCCACTGGCTTTCAACACCCAGAATTAGCAGATAGTCCAACAACTTTTTCTACAATCAAGAAAACAGAAAACAAAATAATATGACACAAACAGATAGCTCTTCAGAAAGACAATTCAAGCAGATATGATTCGTGATAGACCTGAACTAGGACTGTTTTATTGGTGATCTTGTTTGAATCTTTTTGAGGATCAGCTTCTGAACCCCCCATCATCAACAAGTTAATGGTCTCCAACGCACTGAGTAAATTAATGGTCTACTGGCATGTTGTTTGTTTCATGGACAACAGCAAATAACCGGTAAGATTGTGATAACATGCAAAAGAATCAACAGGAATTGGCAATAGAGGAAAAACAGAAGCCATATAAAGTTATAAACACTTGAGTATCTAACCTTCTGTTGAGTGAAACTGTAAGTACTTCCTCTTAGTTTCAAGATTGATATTAATGGGTCAAAGCCCATAGTCTCCCTTAGTAGTACCTGAAATACATGTAAATTTAGAAGCAGAGAAAACCTCATAAATAGAGAACAACAATGAAAATAAAACACAGAGTAAACCTGATTTGATGCACTACTGCGAAGAAGATTGTTCAGCAACTCGAGACAGTCCTGTGCAAGAACAACATATGAGTACCTCGTTAATTCATTTATAGATTACTCGAACAGTAGCATAGCTAAATACATAGCTTAGCTAAACAAGCCACAGGTTAAAAAAAAAGAACGGTCTAACAGCAAACAAGCCAGAACAAGTTCACTGAAGTTTAAAAAAATAAATCCAATGAATCACCTGCACAACAACACCCCCTTCAGAACCTCCTTCCTCCTTAATAATACTAAAAATTTTCTCAAATGCACCTTCGAAGACCACAATCTTCTGAATCTCCTGTAATTATAGAACTCTCTCAATTAGCATGGCAATCAAACGTATATAAACAAGGTTCAGGTGCAAAAAGAAAAAATGAAGGGGGGGAAGGGGGGGTGCAATAAACCTAAAAGCTCACCTCAGCTTCACGAGTCAAGTATGTGAGAAGCAATAAGGCTTCATTTCTTATAACCTGTAAGGTCAACAGCGATCAACTTCATTAAAAAGAAAAGCAATTGCACAATATTATCAATAGCCTATGCCAATCAAATTTTGAGACAAGTTTCAAATTTTAGATCTTCATGTTTGATGATTACAATCTAAGTAAATGACAGAGACAGGAAATTTAGGTAAGATAAGCAGAAGGTTCCTGCAGAGTCATATTGCAACAAGCAGGCCTACAATAAGGCAGAACATAAACTTTAACAAAATTTGCAAGAGGATCATTTGGTGAATAAAGCTGTGTACCTCACGGTCCATCAGCATATCCATGAGACGAGTTATACCACGAGGAATGGACAGAATTGCTTCCTGTAACCTGAATAGGAACTCAGCAAGATGTTTTCGAGCAGAAACCAATGAAAAGACATTTAGAATGGAAAGGATTTCTGTAAGACTCATACCTAATTGGGGAATTAGTAAGAAGGGCTGTCAAAATTTGAAGAGTGTAATATCGCACATAGAAATCCTCCTCTGACTACAAAATCACCAACAGAAAAGATAATGACACTATTACAATAAAGATCCAAAATAACACATAAAGTAAGTTCCAGATCCATATATAAAAGTCTCACCAGCAAAGTTAGCAGAAGAGAAATGCTCTCTGATTCTCGGGAAAGCAAATCAGTATTCATTAAAGCTGGCTGAACCTCATTCGTAGGCCCTTTTGCATGATCAATAGGTGTCAAAGCACTAACCAGAGTCTCAAGGGCACCACGAACCTGCATAAAGGGAATGACTGGTATTCAATGATTTATCCATTTTCAGCAAAACTTCAATCAACAAAGTTGCACGGGGAGGATAAAGGAAAACAAAAGTATTTGGACTAAACAAAAACGAACCTGCAAAATACTATTCCCCAAGAACAATTACCAGAAATTCTTAGGTCATAAAATGGGAGGTGACCAGCAGGAAAATATGGAGTTGGGATTAAAAAGGCTTCCCCAAATAGAGGGGAACAGACTCATAGAAACATAAATAAAGATCATATTGCTAGATATCATCCAACTGTCAAACCCAACCATTAGACCCTTTCATGCTTCGGTAATAAAAACTAATACAGAATGTACTTACGTATTTTGAAAATTACAGATTTAATTCTCAACTTTTAATCCTCCGTAAAGACATTTTGAATGTTTCCTCCCCAACTTTTCCTCAAAAGAATTTTAATATTATTTTTCTCCCCTAACCAGAGTCTTAGAAGTGCCAAGAAGATATTTTTTATCAACAGCAGACTGCTGGATCAAAGTTCTCTCTGAGGTACCAGATATGCATTACTAAGAAACAGTGTACATGAAACAACAAGAGGAACAGATAGAGGAAACATAGCAAACAAGAGAGATCTAAAACCATTTCAACATCATCTCGTTCTTCCTTTAAGACACCCATGAGAACAGGAAAGCCTGCAAAAATGTAAATACTAGCTTTATTAAACAAGATAGAAACACATGACAAGAAAGACAGAGGAATTTAACTTCAGTACTAGCTTTATTGAACAAGGTAGAAACACACACCCATTGCTCCAAAAGCTAGCTGGGCAGCACGGCTTTCAGCCACAACGGACTGAAGCTCTGCAATAGCAGTCCTCCTGTCCTCCGCCAGGACACCATTACTTATGCGGTCGAGCAAGCGTTCAACATAGCTATTGACACGGGACAAATACTAAATCAGTTGCATCATCAACATCAAATATAAAAAAATAAACAGCAATTACTAATATTCTCATTTAACTTACCTATCTTCACTGGAACCAGAATTCTCATTGCCAAAAACAAATCCAACAACCCCCTGCCCAAGAACTCAGAGTTTAATACACATAATGATAAAACACCAAGATGACAGACTATCACATAAAAAATTCACTAATCGCTTCACTCTTAATCAAAGCAAAACAGAATCCATTCAAGCAACATAACATGCATGCATGACCTTAATCAAACTTTTACACACTTTTCGGGAAAATGCAGAATCCAAACAACGCTTTTCATAAGAATTTCAAGAGGCTACATCAAATTTATACGTATAAGACTCTCTGTTGTATTAAATTCGTTTATTTAGTTCATCACATTTATTTTAACATCAATCTTGGACTAAAACTAAATTAAAATTTCACATTTTTTGAAATCAAAAGCTTACTACAGTAAAATTTACTCCAATCAATCCTAAACAAAAATAATTGTAGAAATTAAGCAGAGAAAATTACCTTATAACGCGACGCCAAATCCATCTTCGAAGCTCAACTAAGGAGCACAGACAATCCTGAAGAGATAAAAAAAAAAAAAAAGAAAGCCGAAGCGTTAAGTAATTAAACAAAAGCTAATTGACCTAATTGAAGCTGATAATTAGGTATTAAAAAAATAAGGGCAAAAAATGGGAAAAATTGGAGAAACCTGCAGAGGATCGAGTGAAGTGAAAAGAGAAGGAAAAAGACAGAGAGAGGGATCTCAATTCAATTTGGATCTGCGTTTCACGTGGATTTTGATCGTCGTTTTTCTGACTTTGGCGAGTCTGCGATTATCAAAGGGAAACATGATTGAGCCAAAAAAAAATTGAAAAACAGATGAAACGTTGACGTATTATCAACAACTTGGGCCCCCCGAGGCCTTCTTGATTATTTGATTCGGGCCCTTCATAGGTGTGATGAATAGTGGGCTACCAGCCCAACATGAGGGGTAATGATCTTATGTCCACGGATAAGGTACCCGAACCTTATTAAATTAAAATATAATTAAATTATAATTACTTAAATAAAATTTAAAAATATAATTCAAACTCATATCTTAATATTTTAAAATTATTCTTTAAATATCCGAACTCGTTAAATATCCATTGAAGGTTAGGAATGGAAAAAAATCAACATATATATCTTTAATTAAGTGAAAACAAATAAATATAATTTCTTTTAATAAAATATCAAAAAAATGAATTTGATTAAATTTATAAGATATCGCCATTGATCTTATAACCTAATAATAACATTCCTTTACCTCTTTTTTTTACTATTTTTATTTAGGTGGAAGTTTTGTACCAATTTTTTTGTATTTACCCATTTAATTTTTATTTTTAATAAATATAGACTTTGTAGAAAGAATTTAAACTTGAGATATTTGGTTATTTGATAGAATAATTAAAGTCCCTTTCGATTGATTTTTTACTATTTTTTTATTTTTAAAATGAATAGAGAACAAAAAATAATAAATAAATAGATAACAAAAGTATCAATCAAGAGGAATTATTTCATTTTAATAGAGGTTTGATTTACTCTAAATTTCTTGAATAACTAATAAAAAGGATTTTACTAATTAACTAAAATTTTAACACCAAGGAGCCTTTTCGGCTAACTTTATTAGATTTTTTATAAAGAAATTTAAAATCAAGATCTTTGATTTCTTTTTATACAATAATCAAGATTTCATTAGATTGATATTTTTACTATTTTTTATTTTCAATGAATAAAGATAAAAATAAAAAAAATCAATCAAATGAAGATATTTCATTTTAATAAAGGTTTGATGTCTTCCAAATTTCTTATATAACCAACTAAAAAGATTTCACTATTTTGCTGATATTTTCAAAGTTGGAGACCTTCTTTTAATTAACTTTATTAGATATTAATATTTTTTAATTAAAATCTCTTTTTACCTAAAACCTTGAAAAGATGAGAAAAAGTTAAAAGACATTTTCAAGTACCATTTGCACTAAAGAACGTACCCCCTTTATATGGGGAAATGGTGCTTCACCAAATTGACTTATATAGCTTGTAATTTTTTTAAGTTGCGTTAGGTATAATTGAAGAGATAGTATATTTTTTATAATGTATTTAAATAAATTACATTGTAATATTTATTTTGTAGTAAATTATTGTAATATCATATTGCAATATCGTCATATTATAACCAATAGATGTAATACGATTACAATCCAAAATCAATATAATCAGATTTCCTTACATTCTACAATGTAGTCAAATATATTTTTACTTTTCAACTTCGTTGCTTTGTTAAAGATATTTTATAATATTATAATTACTTTTTAATTTAGATTTCAAGGGATGTCTTTTTGTTACTTTCAGTTGTCATTTTATATTAGATGATGAATGGTGAGTGTCAATAAAATTTATATTGTCATGTAAAAAAAAATAAAAATAAAATATATAATATAAGAAATTATATTAAAAATAAAAATAAAATATATAAGATTATAATAAGAAATGAAAATAATATATATGACATTAAAAATATATTTATAAAATGATATTATATTAAAATTAATAATAAAAAAACAAGTATTTTAAACTTATATTTTAATAAATAAAAATAATTCTAAAAATTGACATTACATTCTTAATAAAGTAATTGTAAATCAAATGCTATAATTCTAATAATTACTTTACTTATATACCAAATATTACAATATTATATTCTCTACAATCACATTACTTATAATCACATTACATTATAAGAAACTAAATCTCACCTTAATCCCTTTCAAGTTTTAATTCAATCTTACAAAAAGTGTGTGTTCATGTTGATTAATTAATCCCTTTCGACCCAAAGAAAAAGCCAAAACTTCTAAGCCTTAAATTAGGTATTGATTTGATGATATCCCAAGGCTCAAGACATCTAAATCAAGGGAAAATGGTTAAAATATCATATAAATAACATAATTTTAAAAAAATCAAAAGACCCTCCAATCCTTGTACTCTTCAATTTTATTCAATTTAGTTTCTATATTCAAAATCGAAGTAATTTACGTCCTTGATTTTGAGAATTCATCAATTTAATCCTTTCCCTAAGGGCATCTAATTTTACCGTTAAAAGCTGACGTCATTGCTAATATCAATGCTGATGTGTTATATTTTGATGACATGGTATTTGAGATGATGATGTGGCAAGTCACATAAAACTTAACGATAACGTGGCAATGCCATGTGGCACTATACGATGACGTGATAGTACTGATGTGGTGTTAACATGTTGACATGACAGTGCCACATGATAGATTAAAAATTTTTTCAAAAAAAAAAATTCTCCCATATCATAGGGATTAAATTGAACAAAATATATAATATATATGGACTAATTTGAACAAAATTAAGATGTTGAGGAACTAAATTGAAAAAAATATTTGAAAAATACAAATCTTTAAGTAGATTATTGATATACTTATTAATAAGTCAAATATTTAAGTGTAAAAGATTTATGATGTTAAAACATATAAATAAATATTTTCTTACTTGATTATTTGATTTTATAATATGTAAATTAATTTATATTTTTTACAAAAATTAAATTTGAATACTACTTCTATAAAAAAAGTTTTGAAAAGAATTTCGTACTTGAAATTAAATTTAGATGAATAACTTATATTACATTAATATAAACTAATATAAAATAACTAAATAAATTCTTTTTTCTTCTACTTAAAACAGTATCAAAATTTAAAATTTATTTAACTTAACTTTTAACTTCAGCTAAAGTCAAATTAACAAAATATATTAATTTATTTTTTCTTTTAAAAAAATGAAGAACACAGATAGATAGAGTTAGTGATAATTATCAAAATAATTATTCGTTTTGACTAGCTTAATTTGGATATGACAAACCTCTCATTACAACCATAGAATCTGAGCTTCACCATTTTAATTTTTTATTTATTTTTAAAATTTTTATTTTATTGAATATTTCAAGTTATATTTTTTAAATTGAAATTTCTTAGATTAAAGATTGCATTTATGGTTGATAAAGTTAAATATAATTGTAAATATTTGTACCATTTTATTTTATTAACAAATTTTTTATAGATCTAAATGAATAATTTAAATTTAAATTTAGCAAAATTTGATTGTGGTATTTGAATTTAAATAAAATCGTTTCATAAGAAATTTTGAGTAAATTTAAATAAAAAATTAAATTAGATAAGAGTTGAATAATTGCAAAAGAATGAATATTTGTAAATTGTGAAAGTTGTAACTAAATCAATATATTTTGCTAATTTGAGTAAATTTAAATAAAAGATAAATTAGGTAAGAGTTGACTAATTTTTTTAAAAAATGTGTATTTATAAATTGTGAAAGTTGTAACTAAATCAATATATTTAGTTATTTTATATTATTTTATTTTAACATAATGCATCTTATTAATCTAAATTTGACTTTAATTATGAAATTTTTTCAATTTTTTTTTTATAAAATGAGAATTCAAACTGAATTTTTGTAAAAAAAGATAAATTAATTTACATATTCTAAAATCAAATAACCAAGTAAGAAAATATTTATATATATATATATATATTAACATTACAAATTTTTTACATTTAAATATTTGGCTTATTGATAAGCATATCAATAATCTACTTAAAAAATTATACTTTTAAAATATTTTTTTAATTTAGTCCCTTAACATCTTAATTTTGTTCGATTTAGTCCCTGTAGTATATATTTTTGTTCAATTTAATCCATATGACGTGATAGATTTTTTTTTAAAATTTTTATTGATCTGTTATGTGGTACTAACATGTCAGCATGTCAGTGCCACATCAGCACTGTCACATCATACTGACATGTTAGCATGTCAGTACCATGGCAACATTGCCACATCATCGTATAGTGCCACGTGCCTTTGTCACATCATCATTCGATGCCATATGGCATGCCACTTCATCATCTCAAACGCCATGTCATCAAAATGTGACATGCCAGTGCTGACATCAGCACTGATGTTATCCTTTAACAGTAAATTTGGATGTCGTCAAGGGGAGAAACTAAATTGATGTAATTCTCAAAATTAAGAGACTAAATTACTTTGATTTTGAGTACAAAGATTAAATTGAATAAAATTAAAGAGTACAAAAACTAGAAAAGTCTTTGGACAGAAAAAACACTTAACAAATGTGCCCATCTCAATCAAACTCCCCACTCAACAATGTCTTTCGTCCACATCAACCGGCCAAGACTGGCCTTGGTCCAAAAAGAAAAAAAATAAGGCATGTGCCTCACCTCTAGTTCATGAAATAAGTAAAATAACATTCAAAGTAATGGTATTTCCATGTTATCGTGAGATTTCTACTTTAACCTACACCTCTCAAGTCATTTCACAAAAACAGACTAAAATAAGTCATGACATAATTTAATACGTGACTGATGATGGAATGATGAAGATTTTTTTTTTTTAGGGTTTCAATCAATAATTCAAACCACAAATACACGACAAAAACATCACTACTAAAACCTCTTTTAAGATAATACTTTGAAAAGCCTAATGCTTGTCCGTATCAAAAGGGTATTGGCAAAGAGCAGTCCCCTTCAACTCACCTCACATTTGAACATGACAAATAAGATGCTATCAGTTTCAATAATATATATATATATATATATATATGAGGTTGTCTTTATTTATTAAACAAAAATTTGACAATATATTTTTATTTTTATTTAAATGTTAATTAATCATTATTTAATTAAGAATTGGGACCCTAAATGTTCAAAATTAGATAAAAAAAATTTAGGGGGTGGATTAATATTAAAGAAATCA